AAAACCTTGTACATTTGTTATGTTAAAGTTTTTCTTCATTACCCATTCAAGCCGTCTCCAACCATTATTATAAAGTAAACCAAAATAACAATACAGTTAATTTTTCAGAGGATCCTGAATTCAAAAATTAGAGCTTCAGTTCTGACAGCTAAATCCCAGCACCAGTGTTTAGTGCATATTAAAGTTATGTCTGAAAGTTTACAGTGAAGCCTCATATATTAATATGAAAGCTGAGCTATATTTCATTTAATCTAAATATTCATAATTTAAGAGACAGAAATAATATATATATATATATATTAACTGATAAAATAAATTCACTATAAGAAACCTTAACTGTAAACTTCATTTATTTTTAGAGAACATCGAAACATTTTACATAATTTAAATAACATTTGCATTAGTCTGATTTTAACATAATAAGTACAATGGCAGATCTTAGTAAATATTTTGAAAAGAATGATGTTTTTAAAATGCAACAACAAGGATCAGCTAAAAAGGCACTTTTGGGAAGTGATTTTATTAAATGATAGAATAGTCAAAATAATGAAGACAACTACAAAAAATATTACTTCTTTTTAATAAATTTAAAAGTGAATATCACAATCTGAAACTTAAATACTCTTAACGCTATATTAGTTGAGATTAAAAGATTTGTGAAAAAACAAAACTGACAGTAATAATAATTCAGAGTAAAAAAAACTCAGATCTAATATACCTACTTTTACAATAAAATAATGAAGACAACTACAAATAATATTACTTCTTTTAATATTGTATTAAACCAAATAAATATTTTACCACGTTAAAAAATGTCAACATGAAAACAGACAAAAGAAAATAAAAACTTTGTCTGTCAAGAAGCAATTACTGCTACCAAGATTTCATAATGGACACACTTACAGCACTGGGTGACAGCACTGGCAACAGTCAAGTCTCTGTATTCCCGGTACATGTTATGGATCCCACTTCGTGAGTTATAGCGCAACCAAATACCAAAGTTCTTGACTTTTGTTGGAGTTTTGTCATAAACCTGTTGAAAGATGTTAACATTTTTTGGTTTAAAATCTAATTATAAGACAATTTGCAACTAAGAAAACACTTTTATTACTTTTATTTTTGTAACAACAGATTAAGCTGAGCACAAATTTCACTTTTTTTTTTTATCCTGTCAGATTTTTCATTTCTCAGTGTTGCTAAAGTCAAAACAATACACTGAAATACTATTGAGGCAATGTTTTATACAGTTGTCCTTATTAGAAGTGAGGTGGATCTAAGTCAAACCACTGAATTATAAAAATTACAACAGATAAAAGTCATTGACTGGACCCTTTAAACAATACTAAATATTTAAAACAAGCAAAAGTATAAAATGTCATGGAAGCTAGGAATATAGTGAACGGTTTCTAGTAAGTAGTAGTTTCTCTACATAGAATTAGAATGTTGGCCAAACCTGCTCACACTTTGTACTAGTGAAACAATATATTCTTGCTGGGAACAAAAGTAGGGAATTTATTTACCTCCCTTGGAAAAATGTTTACTATAAAACAAAAGGAGAAATTAGCTAATGAATGAACAGTTATAGTTTGTACCCACTGAAATGATATCAGGCTTAATTAACCATTATGTATTTTTGGAAAAGTTAAAAGATGTTAGAATTTAGTAGAAGCTAATGTATCTAGGTAACAAGTATGTGCATCAACTAAGTCTACTGATGGCTGCCTTATACTAAAGGAAATTATTAAAAGTTATTAATTTCAATGTCAAAAGCTGGTGAAACACTAGAAGCCAATGGGTCTGATTTAATCATAAACAAATTAAAGATAATTATGAGGAATGTTTGAAAAAACATTTGCAGTTTACATGACTTCTATTTTATTATTACCTTGAATGGACAATTACTTTAGTACAGAATTTATCACTGCACTTCTGGCCAAATTACACTGCACAATCTGGATAGTGTGAGTCTAATTGGCTGGCCTACTTGCTAACAGTCTGAGCAACCAATCAAACAAGTTCAAGCTGTATTTTCACTATCCTCATTTCTCAACACTTAGCCTGGGTATGCCATGAAGCTTAAATGAGGATCGCAAAACCAACATGGCACAAGAAAATGAAACAAGCCTGTTAATCAGACTTGTAGTAGATTTCTGTACTCATAATCTTGTGAAATAAATGACTGAAGTGGATGTATCAAAGGTGTATTGATACTTAACTGTAAGAATTTGTGACTCTTCCTTCAGAAAAATGTACTAGCATTTTCTTCTAGAGCCTTCCAAATTTTACTAGAAAAACAACCCTAAACAGAAATTTGCTTGCTTGTTAGCATTAACTTTCTCTTGATTGTGCTATATGCACCTTTTAAAGATTACCATTTGATTTTGAGGTTTTTATCTCTGTTTGCAGCAAAAACTTCTCCCAGATGTGCATCAACACAAATACATTTACCTTGGACAATTCTGTCCCTTCTGTTTATTGCAAATCCGCCCCCATGTTTTCAAATGGCAGACTTTCTCTTGCCCACGTACATCTCACGTGAAAGTGTAACTTTGCTAAATTGGCATCTATGTCTAAATTCATTTTTGGCAATCCCCGACACATCTACAGTGGGATCTTTGAGCCAAAAGGGTGTAGTTATCTTATTTACAGTAGACTGTTGCTTTCTTGAATGCACAGACCACAAGTGCCATTTTGTCCAAATAACAAAAGCCTCTTATATAGCTACAAGCTAAGGTACCCATCTTTTGTCCAGGTTATGAACTAAAACAAATGTGGGGGTGGATATTTTATTATTAATAAATGCTCAACAGCAGTAATTGTGGGTTGAAGGGGTTGTGAATCCCTATTAACATGTACCTTATTCCAAACTATCATCTCTTGTAGTTTGGTTGAGATTAGCCCAGCAACCTAGGAGTAGTTACATAAAAGACAAACACACCGATTTTGCGCTCTATATATATAAAATCATACAGTAAGCCTGATCTCCTCCCCCCCCTTGTAAATGAAACATTTGTGGATGTTTAAAAACCTGAAGTTTTTTCTTATTCAAATAATATTTCTATGAAACAGTTTTTAATGATTATTATACTTTTGTTATTCTGAATAGAACTTAAACTGCACTTCAACATAACTGGAAGTTCTTGAAAAATATATAAACAAATGAAGCACATCTGGTATCAATAAGTGCACACTTCTACATTATATTGTTCACCAAAACACAATGCCGAGAGAAATGCTTGAAACTTTTTGACACTAGAAGCCAAAAATTAGTCTAGAATGCTACAGTCTTTATTATGTAAACAATGATTTAAGACATCTTTCCATTTCCAATTCTTTTAGTAAAATAGTAAAAACAATTGCTAGATCTAAGATCAAGAAATTTTTATAAATTTACAGCTGGGTAACCATAAATGTCATCAGGCCTCGAGCTATACATAATGATTTCAGCAAGGCTCTCTGGTGTTAGAAGTATTTCATCACTAAAGCTCAGTAAATATTAATCTATGATTTATAAGCATCTCTATTCAAACTGTCATATCATAAAAGTTGAAGATTTTGAAAAAATGAAATTATAGTTAAAAGAACTATATTATTATAGCAATTCTTTTTGCAGGGAAGAATATGCCAAAAGAAAAAATTTAATGCATTTTATCAATATATTTGTTTAGAACATATTAACAGAAAACTAGCAATAGTCACAAAACTACAAATGGTTAGACCAACTTGCGTAATTCTGCAGAGGTCATTGATGTACACAGGTATAATAATAATAATAAAGAATGTTAAGTACAAATACCTCAGAAACGGCAACTATCTCTCCATTCATTTTCTTTAATTTTCTCAGCTTACTAGTGAAATACCAAAATCGAGACTTGGCTGTAACCTTGTCGGGTGCAAAAATTCTCATCCGGTAGAGCGGTGGGTTCCGATCCTTTTCTGATGGGATCCGTCGCCCGATAATTTTGTATTCTTTAAGCTAATAACAGTAAAACTTCTCATTTAAGTACGACTACATCTGTACAAGATTAGGTTAATCAACTAAATAATAATTATGGTTTACCCCTGAAATGTAGCTGAAGTAAATGCTTAATTGTTTCCAGATTTTGATTTGTGATGTTACGCTACACAAGAATTTTGTAACAATTAATACGATTATTCCCAACAATTTCTTAAAATGACAACAGCATTTTTTTTTCCTTTTGTTGGTTAATTATTCTTAAAACACTGCAGAAGTAACCAAGTCTTTAATTGCATCCTTAATTATGTAACAACCTGAGTTCACTTCCAACTATATAAACAGAAGGAAGGCGACAGGCTGTAGATTTGTTTTATGCACATTCTTCTAACCCAACAAATATTTGCCAAATTGTTGAGTAAAGGGATAGTGCAAACTTAGCACCTGAAGTTTTCCACAAAATGTTGTCACTAAAGAGTAATTAAATTTAACAGAAGATATAAAAAAATAGCTTTGTTTTTACTGCAACAATTTTAACCAATCTTATATTGCAGCTTATTATTCATTTATCAGACACACAAATGAAAAATTAAATAAAATGACACATTTTTTTCCCTAGCAGAATGGAGGTTGTAATTTTAAATACTGATATAAACAAGTGACTAAATCCATGACAAAAAAATTATAGTTTCTTTTTAACTACGTGACAACGTAGCTTGAAATAAAACACAAAAAACATTAAAATTTTAGGAATAAAATGTTAAATAAGAATACTGAATTCTGGTTTCAAGATTATGACTTTTGCTCTTTACACTGTGAACCCATAGTTCAACATGGCATCACGATTCATTGTGTCTTAGATTTTTTTTTACTTAGTATACAGACTTATTTCTAATTTTTAGTTACACAAATGTCCTAAGCTTACAAAATTCTGACATGTAGTTACTGACTTCTGCCTATTTTTTCTATTCTTAATAGCTACTTTTAAGTAGCTAAATTCAATATGCTCTATAACAATTAAATGCCAATTCTCCAATATTTGGCAAAGAAATGCTTTGACTGAATGAAATACTTGGATAAAAAAAATAAAAAACAATCACATTTAACACTAGTGTTTTGATTTATTGACACAATTTAAGTAACATTATATAAAACTAGATACTAATTTCTTTAAAGTTGAAATATCCAATTTTCCAGCAATTAAATGTAAGCTATGATCTCTATCCTAAATTTATTACTTTGCACCATTCATATTAGAAATGTGTACAGATCTAGCTTCATACTTATTTTACTGAAGCTCAGAACAGTTTGATGCTTTGATGTAATAAGAATAAGCAGTGGAAACATGAAAATAGTGATCTCTGGCAGAATTATTAGTTTTTAACACTGATGTGTTTATATCTGTTTTCTCCAATTTTGGTTTGTTATGGTTGCAGGGTTAGACTTAATAGTTGGGTTGGTGTGATATCTTGTGTGTGATGGGGTGAGGGTCAGAAACCACCTCAATGAGCTACATGGAATGCTGTTATCTTTTGTTTTTGTTTTCATATTAAAATTGAATAGCTTTAGATGGACTTCTTGACAAATATTAGTGATGTAAAAGCAAACCCAACAAACTGACTACTTACTATTTGACCAGATCTGTTAGTTGCTTACTCTTCCAGAAAGAAAAGGTTTTTAGAAGAAGAAAAAAGAAAATTTCTGTATAAACAATTAGGTGTAAAAGATAAGTTTAAAAGCAACCAAATTCTGAGTTAGGCATAGAAGTCATCTTTAGTAGACCTGTCCAAAATGATGAAAAACTATTAAGAGAGAGATGGTAAGCAGTATTTCAATTAGTGAATGTCCCACGTGTTATATACCCAGATACATCTATCCTTTCATTCCATATGCCTAACAAAAAATTATTCAGCATTTTGTTGAATAATTTTTTTTACATTAGCTTAAAGATTTTAATCTCACACACATAGACAAACAAGACAACCAGTAAAAAAGATGTCAAGTGTAAATGTCCTTGTTTGAAACAAACAATTTCATAACAATCCATTGATTATTCAGTAGTGTTACGAGACCTCCAAATATTTGAATGTTGAATGGGACTTCAAAATTCATGCCCTAGAAACTAGTTGAAGGACCGAGCAAAGAAAGCTAATACTTGAAGGACAGCTCAGCTGGAACCTGTTCATAAGATGGGGTAAACAAAGCATGATATCACAAGAAAGAGGAAAAATGTATTTCACCAGGTCTAATCATTACACCTGGACAAAAATAACAACATGAAATTACTGAAATATCTTGATATTAACCCTTTTGAGATAGGTCAGGGGTGAAAGGCCATGTCATCTCGTTTGTTGACTCGCATTCAAACTTTTATTGAACTACTATTTCATGAATTTATGTCCATAAATTTTGTATCAAACTGTAGATTATAATTCAAATTTTAGTACTACACATTACTCAATTTCTTAATTAAAAAACAAATTAAAATCACAGATGAACATCAGTTTTTGTGTGTTACAAAATATGTTGAATACAGCAATGGCTCAAATTAGATGTCTGAAGTCAAAATACTAAGTCTATAGTTTCATACGACTTTGAAACTCAAATTACTGATATAAACAAGCTCGATTATAAAATAAAGTCTTATCATTTCTATTTGCTCAAATAATAAATCAAACACAATAGCACCCTACCCACCTTTTTCCATTTTTCAAGGGGGTAGGGTGTCTTTAGTCTGCTTGATTGTTTGTTTGTTTTGAATTTCGTGCAAAGCTACACGAGTGCTATCTGTGCTAGCCATCCCTAATTTAGCAGAGAAAGACTAGAGGGAAGCCAGGTAGTCATCACCACCCACCGCCAACTCTTGGGTTACTCTTTTACCAGTGAATAGTGGGATTGACCATCACATTATAGTGCCCCCACAGCTGAAAGAGCAAGCATGTTAGGTGTAATGGGTATTCGAACCCATGACCCTCAGATTGCGAGTCCAGAGCACTAACCACCTGGCCATGCCGAGCTAGTCTGCTCAAAATTTAATATTTTTTAGACTAAAATACATCGTAGTTACTAAGCTCGATAAATTATTGTGGAATTCTATGGTATTAATTTAAGATTTTTTAGTTATTCAAGTGTATATATATATAAAACCTATAAAAACATTGTTTTACATCCTCCATGTGCAAAATTTTTAAAGGCTTAGCAACCTACATCAAGCAGCAACCAAGTACAAAGGTCGTAACTAGAAGAGATAATTGTTTGCTTTACTTCTATATTTACTGTTCTGTGTTTTAAGAAAAATAAGTTTAAGAACTTATTTGAAAATAGCAATAATCTATATACATAATAATTAAAATGTGACTGTATTTTACAAAATACTAGTCTACTAAAACAGCCAAGACAAGTTACTTTGTACAGACCAAAGATCAGTTTTATGTTATTTGGTACAGTACTATTAGTGCACATGAGCTGCATCACTGTAACTTCTGTATTGTTAGCCAGGCATGGCTGAAAGGTCAATACAATAAAAATAATATATATAAATGTATAATGTACGAGATTTAAGCTATTTAGTCTGAACATTTATGTTCATTCTAGAATAAAAGAGGCATAATTTATATTTATTTCCTAATTTCTTACGGTGGTTGAGAGATTGGTCAAATCTACTGAACCCGCACAGAGATTAATTACTTAAGTTTTTTCTTAAGAAATGTTTGATAAATATTTGGACATTATAAAGACTTTGCATGTGAAATTTGAAGATGCATGAAGTAGGTTACTTCAAATATGTACAATGTGACAGAGCAAAAGAGCCAATTTTATCATCAAAAGCTTAGGTGTAATTATTTATGTTAAGTGTTGTGTCATGGAAGAAGAGTGACTGAAAACTAAGCTGATCAGGTCATTTTATTAATATGTTCTCCATTTATTTAACAGTATGGCTAGTCAATAAGACTGGTCTATAGTTTTTATGACAAAAATTATGATTTCAAATATACACCT